TCTCTGGGATGGAGCTTCTCATTTTCTGCCATCAGTGACCTTTTCTAGCAATAGCTTCTTGTAGAACTCTGTGGTGTGGAGCTGGCGCTCGCACCGCTCTGGGCAGGAGAGGAGGAGGCAGCAAGTGCGACCACCAGCACCCTCCAGCCCCGTTCCAGAGGGCAGGATGAAGGCCAGGACACGCGACTGCACCGTGTGGAGCATCCCGCTCCCACCAGCAACCCCAAACGGCCTCCTCAAAATCGCAGTGCTCTGCCCAGGGAGAGAGGACAATTCCGAACGCCTGGAAGCAACGTGGTGGTTCTGTTCCTGAGCAGCAGCCTTTGTGCTGATCACAAGGGCCATTGTCTGCGGCGTGAAGGGAAAAATGCATCTCGGGAATTAAACATGAAGCATCATTAAAGCACAATGTCCTATGGAAGGAAAAATCAGTCCAAGCAGGATGCTGTGAAAGGGAAATGATTATCCCATAGGAAATGCAGACGCACAAAAGGGGGTGTTTGTCCTGAACCACCGCTGGTTTTCAATCCATCCCATAAATTACTCACTTCAAACATTTCCAGGTGGAGACAAATCTCTCCAGACAGCCCAACACGAGAGGAATGTCACATTTACATGTGGTGTGATTGTCCGGGCCAGGGTTTATTTCAGGGGGATCATCCTCTGCCCTGTGTTTTCACATCTAATGCTCCACAGCCGATTCCTCCTGTTGCTGTGAAGGGCCCCACGTCCTTCTCTCCATCACCACATCACCCATCCACGCTCCATATTTATTGTAGGGTCCTGGGAAACCACCTCAAATAGCCTCATGCCCACTGACACCCAGGCACCTTTCCCTGGGATTAGAGCATGCATGGGGTGAGCTGTGCTCTGCTGTGCCCCAAACGGGCATCCCCTCTCCCCATGGGCCCTTGAGCAGAGCCTGGAGGGTCAAACAAAGGGCCCAAGCAGGGCAGAGGGAGCAAACGCCATTGTGGCTGACACTGAGGGGTGATCCTAGGGCAGGGGGGGACAGGAGTGAGGAAGGGGAGGAAGGGGAGGAAGGCTTTTATGCAGGCTCTGCCCAGGGAGCGCTGTGTGCTCGCAGGGAGGCTGCCCTGGGGAGGCAGAAGTCCCTCCTGCAGCTCAGTGCTGCTCCTGTGAGCCTGGATCAGAAAATAAACCCATTAGATGGAGAAATCCTCAATGTTGTCACTTCACATAAGGTGGAAGTGTCTCTGCAGGGTGAAAGGCTGAGCCCGGGTGGAGGTTACAGCTGCTGAGCACAAGAGACGAGCTTGCATCAGAGCGTGAGGCTGCTCAGGACACTGCGGGAAGGAGCTGCCATCGTTGCGCTGTCCCTCGAGGACCTGCAGGACTGGGGAAGCCTCTGGACTGACAGAGATGTATTTAAGGGGACTGAGCTGTGTGGAGGAAGGGGTGCCATTAAAGAAGTTCCCCACCAGAAGCTCCGGGACTGGGAAGTGATTTTGTACAGAGATCCCCAGAGATGAAATGGAGGGTGGCTGCGGTGGTGGGACACGGATGCTGCAATCCACATCCTCCCTGCATTGGCCTGGCCACCCCTTTGTAGCTGGGGAAGAGCAGTGCAGCCAGCTTGAGGCACTGCCCTGTGATGGTTAATGTGCAGAGGGGTATTTAGGAAGCAATCAAATATACTCCAGGATGGTGGGACAAATCCAGCTGGGAAAGGTGGGTTGATGCTGCACAGCCTGGGTGGGATGAGGATCACCAGCCCTTCAGTGTGGGGGGATCCAGGGCTTCACCCACCCATGGAATTAGGTGCTGGTGGGTGGGTTAGAGGCAGCTTCAAGATACCCCGTAAGTGTCCCCATCCCCTGAATCCAGCCTGATGGGAAAGCACTTCACCCCTATGTGCCATTTCTGGATCCTCTGGGAGAAGCTGTTTGCTGGAGGAGGTGGGAAGGGCACTGGGGAAGAGCAGGCACAGGTCACCCTGGCACCATGGGGATGGGCAGCGTGGCCACAACCAGAGGCACCAAGCTGGGCACCAGCCATGGAGTACAGCACGAGGGCAGGCGGGTGGCTGGCAGCGTGTCCTTGTCCCCCCCTCAGCTCCAGGGTTTTGGGGGTGTCTCCGCTTGTGCCTGGGTAAGCAAAGAGGGAACAGCCCAGCGCCCTTCCCAGTCCCATGTAACGGGAGCTGCTTTGTTTTCCATCTGTGCAATCCACACGGTTCCGGTACACGGGATCCTGGAGATGGAGCATCATCTGCAGGCAGCGGGCAGCTCCAGGGCTCTGCGGTTGGGAGCGCAGGGCCGGGCTGGCAGATGGCCTGAAGGGCTCTCCGGGGATCCCAAGCCATTCCCAATAATCCAACATCTTTCTTCAAACGTGGCATTGGCAGTGCCCCTCCGGGGCTGTGGGAGGAGGGAGGGTTGTGCCTGTGCCAGGAGCACACACGCAGCCCCAGCCGCTCCTCATGCTCCCCATGCCATTCACTGGAGGTGTGCTTGCTGCTGGCTGTGCTCCCCTGCATGCTAATGCTGCTGTCACTTGGGCTAGCAGCAGCCGTGCCAGGACACCCGGCCCTTGCAGCCACCATGGTATGAGCCTGCAGCAGGGGAAGGGGGTCTGTGTCCAGCCACCAGCCCTGGGATGGAGCAAGGAATGTGCTTGGGATCAAGGGCCCCTGGGAGCCACCTCTGCCATGCTCTGGGCAGCTTCACAGTGGCCTTTCGGTGTGAGCTGAGCCAGCCCTGTCCCCACTGTCATCTGGTCCAGAGAGGAGGATCCTCACCTCCGGAAAGCGGATGGCTCAGCCCTGGGAGGCCCGGGACGCAGGCACTGGCAGTGGGCACAGCTCGGTGCCAGGCACTCACCCCCTCGAAGCCCCTCTCCTTTCCCACCTGGTCCCGCAGCTGCACATCAC